AGTTTAAGGTGTCGCGCCAAACTGTGCACTACCAAATTAAAAAATTTAAAAAGCATAATGACCTGCGTAATTTAAGGATGTAGTCTCATGTGTGAGGTTGAAAAAATCGATTTTTTTTTTTCACACATTTCGATAGTATTGTTTATTAAGAATGTACTGTTAAAGTTTCAAATAAAAATATCAAATAATGACAGAGATACAGCCCATAATCGAGAGCGCGCCTACACCGAAAAGTATGAGTTTCTCGGTAGCGTCTAAACTTTAAACGCGTTTTTCTCGGAACGACATTTTTGTGTGCGGCGCAGGTGATTCACAAAATTCTATGGTACCGATCTAGCTGAAATTTGGATATGTTGTTCTAAAAAGTAACACCTCTGTCCCGTACTAGAATCATTTATTTTTAATGATTAGTTTTTTTTTATCATTAATTTAAGATGAATTTTTTAAATTTTTTAAAATTTTTTTTTTTGGGGGTTCGCCATTTTGTTGTTTATTGTTGAAAATATTTCATTCTAGTACGGGACAGAGCCATAAGCTTACAAAACAATAATCTATTCAAATTTTTTGTTTCGGATTACTCTAGCAGTCGAAATCACCTGCGCCAGGGACCTACCTTTTTTTTTATATGCATACTTTGGCATGCTATAAATGTATTAAGCTACACAAGAATAAATTAAACAAAATATTTTCAAATAGTTTATGATGCCTATAAAAACATATGTGAAAATTGGAACGATCGCATTATTTTTTATTACAAAAAAAATTTTTTTAAATAACCTCTAAAAAGTAGGTTGGAACATGAGACTACATCCTTAAGATCAGGTCCAAAGCGCAAAACAGATCTTAGTAAAGACCGAGTTCTTGTACGGGAATTAAAAAAAAATATTTTTCTAAAGCCCCAATCCGCAGCAGATCAATTTAATTTTACAGCTAAAACACCAATTAGTGGGCGCACAGTCCGTCGACGTTTAAGGGGTTATATACCTTCTTTGTCGAAGAAAAAGAGCAAAGTTCGGATTTTTTTTTAGGTATGTAGCAATTATTTAATTACAGGGATGTTTTAATTTTTTGATAGTACACTTTATTAACAATGTTTGTGCAAAATTTGGTGAAAAAATATTAAATAGTTTTTAAGGGGTGGCTGTTTCTCTTAGAGGCTTTTTTTTGTAGAGCCTTGCGGTGACAGTTCCCCAGGTCAAACAGGTCAACTTAAACCATAAAAGTAAAAAAATTTCATTAGTTTAGTGTAATTCCTTGTGCTTGAACGATCGATTTTAAAATTTTTTTGTTTTTATGCATACGGGAACGTTTTATGCTAAAAATGAACTTTTTGGTCTCTAGAAATTTCACTAAAAAATTCATTTCGGCGAAAAAAAAGTTTGTGCGTGAAAAGTCGATCGTTCAAGCACAGAAGAATTTCATTACGAACATTTAAAAAAAAATTTGAAGTAAATCGGTTCAGTAGTTTTCCGCCAATCCATGTCACCGCAAAGTCATTTTTTAAAGAAACACCATTTCGAGATATTCGCGTTTAAAGTTTTAAGTTCAGTTCAAGGCCGCAACGAGGCGCGCGGTTAGGAGCGCTGTAACTTTTTTTCTACTGCTCCAATCTCTATGGGAAAATGTTCTTAAGGAGTTTTTCTTCAAGATAAAGCAATAACAAAATTTTCGATTTTTTGAAAATAAAAAAGGTATATAACCCCTTAAAAGAAAGTCATTTCAAGACTTATAAAGTCAAGGAAGTACCATACATAACAAAAGCAAACAAGCTCAAAAGACTGGCTTTCGCAAAGGAATATGTCCAAAAGCCAAAGGAGTTCTGAAGGAGCGTTCTATGGACAGATGAAAGCTCCTTTGAGTATAACTCATCAAAAAATAAGTTTGTTGTGAGATTACCAATGGAACAAAGGCAGAAAAGGCGGCCCGTTTTCCAAAAAGTAAGCCATGGTGGAGGCTGTGTGATGTTCCGGGGATGTGTTGCGTATAATGGACTGGGTGACTTCGTCCCTCTCACTGGCTCGATGAACCAAGGCCAATATTTACGGATTCTGAATGATAACGCATTTACTTCTGGAGACAGGCTTATTGGTCAATCCTTCATTCTGCAACAGGATAACGCCCCATGCCACAAAGCCAAGATGATTACATCATTTTTGAAGGATGTTGGTGTTACCACTTTGGACTGGCCACCTCAAAGTCCAGATTTAAATATACAGCTGTGTTCATAAAAATAGCGGTGCTCGTGACACAAATGTTTAAGATCGAATAATTGTAGTACAAACGCCAAAATGGGACAAAATTGGTATACATACACATAATATATTTATTTTTAATTATGTTAACATTTGTTTCAGTCTAGTTACTCCATTTATTTCGAAAATATAGATAATATCAAAATAATATCGACAAAATGGGGTGTTCATAATAATAGCAGTGTTACCAAAAAAACTAATAAATTCATCAAATCTTAAAAAAACTTAGAACAAATAACAAAAATGATAAATATAAACTAATATTTTGTCGTAAAGCCTTTATTGGCTTAAACAGCTTCACCCCTACGTGGCATGGAGTCCACCAAGTCCTGGCAACGCTTGAGGGGAATCTGGGCTCACGCGTCCTGTACAAATTGCCAAAGATGCGGTGTTGAAGTCGGGTATTTCTTTGCCACATATCCCTTGATATTCCCCCATAAATTTTCAATCGGATTTAAATCCGGGGAAGGTGCTGGCTACGACATTGCATCAATGTTTGGTTGACCAACCCAACTCTTAGCCAATTTGCTGGTATGTTTTGGATCGTTATCCTGCTAGAAAGTCCATTTTAAGGACATATCTCACTATGCATAAGAAAGCACTACTTTTTTGAGTATGTCGACATAGACGTCTTGGTCCATGATCCCATCGATCATATGTATGGGACCACGCCGCTGTACGAAAAACAAGCCCATATCAATATTTTAGGGCCACCGTGCATAACGGTCTTAAAAGTGTGGTTTGGGTGGTTCTCAGTGTTTGGGGGTCGTCGGACATACTGTCTGGAGCCTGTCCCACAAAATAAGACCAGTATGGACTCATCTATCCAAAGAATATTGCGCCATTTCGTCACTGGCCAGTTCAAATGGCTTTTGGCAAACTCCAATCGAGCTTGGATATGCCTTTTACCAAGTAATGGCACCTTTTGGGGGCTTCTCTCATTTAAATTTTCATTTACTAATCGACGGCGAATGGTGACGTCGCTGATCTAAAACTTTAGCTCCTTTTTTACATCCCTAGAAGATTCAAAAGGATTCGCTTTGCTGAAGCGCGCTTTCATTTGGCCCTCAATATCGGTGGTTTTTCGTTTGCGCCCACGTGTTTCGGCCTTCCCTCATAATTAATGGCATTGGATACCATTTTGGCAGAACAATTTACCAAATCTTGGATTTTATATGGGGTTTTCCCAGCTTCCTAAGCTGAACTATGACATTCCTCTCTTCCTTGGAACAGTGGCGTCCTTTACCCACTAAAAACCGAATTTTTACATGGTTATTGTGTATTTTCATTTAAATTATATTAACAAACTTAAGCAAACTCACTTTTCGTCAAATTTTTAATGTTTTTGGCACTTTTTGTAGATCAAAATGAAAAACTGCTATTTTTATGAACAGCCAAAAACATGTGATTTTGTGAATGCTCAGAAAACGAAAATAAATAGTAAATCTAACGAAATTTTTGTACTTTTCCTATTTCTATATTCCATTTAACAAAAATAATGACCAAGCGATCAACTAACTAAAAGGAAAATGCAAAAATTACCGTTCTTTTACTTCGTTGCTACTGCACTGCTATTATTATGAACACAGCTGTAATTGAAAACGTCTGTTCTCTTATTAAACGTAAAAGAACAGTATCGTTGAATAAAACCAGAGAGGAGACAATTTCTGAGGTCAGTTCTCTTTGGGAACAGATATCTCCAGAGATCATCCAAAATTTAATCGATTCAGTACCGGGACGCCTGGAAAATGTTATTAAAACTAAAGGAAATTATATATTTTACTAAATTCCTATTTTTGCCTTAGTTTTTTTGAGTTTATACTTTGTTACTCACATTAAAAGGTACTTGTCAAAATAATTATGCCACGACATAAAAATTACTTTAGCTTATATTTTTGCAAGTTCATATGACAAAATGTTGAATTCATTATTTTTAACTTTATATTAGCACTAAGTAATACAGAAAAAAAAATCATTGAGTTATAATAAACCATTGCAAAGTTACATACAAACTTGAACCATTTGTTTTTCGTCAAAATAATTATGCCGACTAGTGTACATACGTATGTGTACATATATATTTACTTTTATAATTTTTTGAATCCTATTACCCAAATCTTTTGCAACCCTTGGTTTATTTAATTGGTCCTTAAAAAATTATTTTTGTGTTGTTTTTAAACAAAAATTGAAAAAACTGGAACTCAATTAATTTCTTCTAACCATAACACATCGCTTACAGAAAAGCTTACATAGATACATATGTATAACATACGTATAAACAGGATATTCACATATGTATGAATTGACATACATACAGATGTACAAATATTGATGGTTAAAAAAAATTATTCCTATATGCATGAGTATGCCTGCATATGTAAGTATGGACACATATGTTTTAATAAAACTTTTCATATTTTGTGTGTATAGTGCGCTAACCTTGACCTACATACATATACATAGGTAACTTTTCCATAATTTTGTATATCCATATATATTTATGTGAGTGAATAAAAACTAACAAATTTTAGTTTTTGCACACTATGAAACCCATTTTCTTAAGATTTGAAGCTTGAAGGCTTAATGAATTCCTTTTATTTTCTTTGATTAATCAAATCAATGACAATCTTCATATTTATTTCCAGTTCACGATGAAATATGTACACATAAGTTTGAAGTTGCTGACGAGAAATATGTATATATGAGTGCAGCGTTTTTAACTTATTCAATTTCTAAAGCTTAACTTACAAAAACTGTATATTTGTTGTTGATATTTAAGAAGATAATTGAAACTGTAAAACTGTCAATTGTATTTTAAAATAGTGCTTAACTGTTTTATTTACACCATAATATTAATTTCAGAAAAAAGAGTGACCAAAATTTGTTTATATCATTTAATGTTGCTATGATAAGTAGTAAACGGTTATGACCACATACGTATTCACCTTTTTTTTATAAATTTCATTATAAAGTATTCACACTATGGCACAAAATGCCAACATGATTTAGGAAAGACGCAAAGATAATAGTGACGTTAAATTTGTTTTTTTTCATATATTTTTAATAAAAATAATTTTAAAATATATTATAATCCTAGATAATAATCATAAAAAAAAACGAAACTAAGGACTTACACATTCTTATAAATTAATATACAATATGAATCACTGTGAAGTCCACGCGTCGCGAAGCCAGCAAGCCTTAGCGTGCGCGTGCAGACACTATATATAGCACTATATATATATAAATGATATACCAATCGAAAGGTATTTCTTTAATTAGATTATATTTGTCAAAACATATGCCAAAGGTCTATAGGTTTGGAAGCAATTTTCGTAAGAGTAAAACGATTTTGATTCACTAAATGTGGTACGAGTCTCCAGACAACATACGCGTCGATTGTTACCTCAATCCGATAGCCCGATCCGTTTATACATTCGAAAGTTATTTAAGAAAATTAATTTTTCTTCTTCTTAAGGGGTTATATACCTTCTTTGTCGAAGAGAAAGAGCAAAGTTCGGATTTTTTTTTTAAGGTATGTAGCAATTATTTAATTACAGGGATTTTTTAATTTTTTGATAGTACACTTTATTAACAATGTTTGTGCAAAATTTGGTGAAAAAATATTAAATAGTTTTTAAGGGGTGGCTGTTTCCCTTAGAGGCTTTTTTTTGTAGAGCCTTGCGGTGACAGTTCCCCAGGTCAAACAGGTCAACTTAAACCATAAAAAATTTTTTCGTTAGTTTAGTGTATTTCCTTGTGCTTGAACGATCGATTTCAAAATTTTTATTTATTTTATTCATACGGGAAAGTTTTATGCTAAAAATTAACTTTTTGGTCTCTAGAAATTTCACTAAAAAATTCATTTCGGCGAAAAAAAAGTTTGTGCGTGAAAAGTCGATCGTTCAAGCACAGAAGAATTTCATTACGAACATTTAAAAAAAAATTTGAAGTAAATCGGTTCAGTAGTTTTCCGCCAATCCATGTCACCGCAAAGTCATTTTTTAAAGAAACACCATTTCGAGATATTCGCCTTTAAAGTTCAGTTCAAGGCCGCAACGAGGCGCGCGGTTAGGAGCGCTGTAACTTTTTTTCTACTGCTCCAATCTCTATGAAAATTGTTCTTAAGGAGTTTTTCTTCAAGATAAAGCAATAAAAAAATTTTCGATTTTTTGAAAATAAAAAAGGTATATAACCCCTTAAAAGAAAGTCATTTCAAGACTTATAAAGTCAAGGAAGTACCATACATAACAAAAGCAAACAAGCTCAAAAGACTGGCTTTCGCAAAGGAATATGTCCAAAAGCCAAAGGAGTTCTGAAGGAGCGTTCTATGGACAGATGAAAGCTCCTTTGAGTATAACTCATCAAAAAATAAGTTTGTTGTGAGATTACCAATGGAACAAAGGCAGAAAAGGCGGCCCGTTTTCCAAAAAGTAAGCCATGGTGGAGGCTGTGTGATGTTCCGGGGATGTGTTGCGTATAATGGACTGGGTGACTTCGTCCCTCTCACTGGCTCGATGAACCAAGGCCAATATTTACGGATTCTGAATGATAACGCATTTACTTCTGGAGACAGGCTTATTGGTCAATCCTTCATTCTGCAACAGGATAACGCCCCATGCCACAAAGCCAAGATGATTACATCATTAAATAATGAATTTTTGGCTAGTTTGTCCGTTTGTGGGTTTGTCTGTGTGTTTCCCCAAATTAAACATATATAAAGTTTATTATAAACATATTTATTATCATTTCGATAAAAATGATAATAACCTACCTTTTAAAACGATTGAGAGCCAGAAGCAATATAAGGCTTATTAAGCGTTGTGCTCACCAAAGCTTGAAGGGCTGAGTGTGCTAAGGAGTTCCGAATGTGTTTCTCAACGCGTCAAAAATGAGACCTACGTTCAAAGCAACCATCGATCATTAACTAAACGGACTTTCTTGTTTTTTTTCTTTTGTTAAGGGGTTATATACAGTTGTGATAGATTAAAACATCGATTTTTATTGCATATTCCTTAAGTATATAATATTGAGAATTTCCTCACAAAAATTCATAACGATCGGAGCAGTAGAACCGAAGTTGTAGCTATTTATAGCGCACTACCTGCACATCAAACTTGAACAAACTGGAACCTTTAAACGCGATTATCTCAGAATATTAATTTTTCGAAATTACCTTTGCGGTGGACACGATTACTAAAAAACTACTAATCGGATCAACACCAAATGTTGACCACTAATTAATTATGATATTAGCTAGTCCGTGAACGAGGGATCAATCAATTTTTTGGTCTTTTGGTGTCTCAAAAATGTGGAATGGGCATAAAAACGTGCTCACACAAAATGGCATGACGCCAAAGTCCTCAGCCCCAAAAACAGGTGCAAAAAAGAAGCAACCAAAAAGGAAACTATCCCAGGACGCGTCGTAAGGACCTATGACAAAGCGTTCACAAACGCAGCTAAAAAGATATTTTTTGGCGTTATCAACCGATTTTTTACTACAACCGTCCCCAGAACAGCCACAAAGAAAATCAGGAACTATGTTGTTTACCCTCCAACAAAGTTTAATGGAGTTACTGTCATTCATTAAAACGACCATGAAAACAATTTTTCGAAACCAGAACATGGTAACACAGTTGCTCATAGCACAGCGGTCTAAATAATCTATGCAAAGTCCACGGATATTAATGTGGAACGCCAATGATGTCTAACGGCTGAAACTAAAACTGACAACTTCTGTACGAAAATCAAATTGACTTTTTAATCAGAGAATGGGGTGGTACTAGACAGAAGCTAAACTGGAATATAAATATAAGGGAAAGGTCGAAGAAAACCGCGAAAGCTCTTTTCGCCTTCTCTTCCCAATCCACAACTAGCTTGTGAGGAACAGGCAAAATTGGCGGCAGTCAGGAAAAAAAATTCACACCAATGGAATCCCAAAAACACCGAACATTCCACTCTATTACTAAACGACCCTCTAGTTTCTATCGGCACAAACTACTGTACTCATTGGGATCATACAAAAACTGCATTCTGCATCATCATTCCCGGAATGGAGGAATGGAACGCTCAAGGCCCCCTGGCCCCAAGATGGCGTTGTGCTTTTACACAGATAGCTCAAAATTAGAAAAACAACATAGCGAGAAGAGTATACTCTATACAAATAGGCAAATGAGCCTCCGTCAGACACTGCAGCGTCTTCTAGGCCAAACTACTATAAGGTAGTATCACTAGCCACTAGCTACTAGGTATGGCTACCACTATCACTACCAGCTAGCTACCACTATGAAGGAAGCACTCAACCTCCTTAATCCATAAAACTTTCCACACATTGAAGCCAATATATATATAGTCGATCAGCTCGATCAAAAACTCGAACTCAATTAGGAAACTCAAAAACAGTATTAGACTGTAGAACATCTCTTCACGAGATGGCCAATCGGTGTGACATAAGCCTCTTCTGGGTCCTTGGTCACAAGGACATCATGGGCAACTGCATAGCAGACAAATTGGCTCGCATAGGTACCACCGTATTTCATCAGGTTAACATGGAGGGTTCTGGATTACTAATAGCCTCTTACAAACTCCAACTTACGGAAGATATTTAAGGAAACACCAATTCAGCTGGAAATCTGTTTTAAATTGTAAGTTGACACAACAACTCTGGCCCAATATTGCAAAAAAAAGAACATTCCAATTATTAAAGATGGATGGGATCCGAATAAGCACTGCTATTAGAGTCATCACGGGACACTGGCTAGTAGGAATAAATGCTAGGCGAATTAATTCATGAACGACTACTGCCGTAGCTGTAAGGATACAGAGAAGGAAGAAACTGCCAAGCCCTGCATTATCTTAGACTATCACATCTCAGCTTGATCAGCTCGATCACAAACTCGAGCTCGATTAGAGTAGATTCCTTACCGACATCATGGAGGTGTTGATTTAAATATGATACAAAATCTTACCAAAGCCCTAGGGTGGGAAAATTGTTAGACTTTGAGTCCCTCATACGGGGAAGGGAAGTTTTTGCTTCGCCTTCTATTTCAACACATAAAATTCACTGTGCAAGATTACAACACAGTAGCTCCTCTATTACAAACTCGCTTGCAAAAATCGATGTAAGTCATTGTTACTGTTGGTCGAGATTATTTTATCTCTCACAAAAAAATGATAAAAAATAAAAAAAATTATGGTGGCTGGTTAATGTAAAAAAAATAACGAAAACGACTCGATCTATATTTGCTGTAATCTTAAGCCTAACTTATCTATTGCGGCGAAGCGGCGCGAATTCGCACCAGAGCGAATATAAGCTTTAGCTCGCACTCCGCCCTAAGCTATCTTATACTAGATTTAGATAATTAACAATTCAACTACAAATTTTTTTTTTTATTTTTTTTTGCAATAGAAGGATGACGTTTATTTAAAACTGTCCTTTAGGGACAACCATTAAATGTTTTCACATAAACTTCACTTATAGATAATTTTACATATTAATATAGTAGAAATAAATTAGAGTAGTAAGGGGAGGTCCAGCAGGTGTGTCCTTTTTTAGTCTTCTGGGCTGCTCGCTGTTGTCCAGCAGGGAGCTGGCCAACAGGTTCGGGTGATTATGAAGCCTCTGCATGTAACGTGCGCTGCTTCTTTGGATCTCGTCCTTGACCCAAGGGAAATTGAGAGCCTCGTGGATGGTGCGATTGTCATGATAGACGTGGGCCCCAGTGACAACTAAAAAAAAATAACAAGAAAGGAAAGCTAACTTCGGGACGAGTCGAAGTTGATATACCCTTGCAGTTAAACTGGATTTCTATCACAAACAACGGGTGTAGTTGGTCGATCCTTATGAGAATATCATAATATAACAAATTTATTACAATATAATACATAAAAAAAAT